GAAATTGTAGATCTCGTCGTCCTCTACAAGAAAGGTTCTATACAATTTTCCCGTAGATTCAACGGTTTGGGAGTTATTGGCCAAAAACGAAAATTTGGAAGAAATTGAAGGGGTACCCCTTAGAAAAATCTCGGAAAATTCGGAAATTTTTGTTGTTGTTTATTATTAGCAATGTTCTTCCGACGTCTGATTTCTTTTTAAAAAATGTGTTTCTAAAGTGCATAAACGTTTGAGATTGACTATAGCCAATACATCCTTAAGGTTGTACGAACCTTTACCAAAAAACAATGACAAAGCATTGAAATTTTAACAGGTACTAGACATTACATTAATAAAACATTGTACTAAATATTAGAAATTATGCGTTGAAATTTCCTTGTGAGTAAGTAAAACAGGTCGAACAATTTTATAAACCTTACTCCTATGTAATAATCATTTTTTTTTAAAGTTCATTGCTTCAAATATTGAACACAGATTTTTATTAAATTCTTGGCAGAGATCTTACGGTTCATACAACCTTAATTGTCAAACTCATTATTAGGAATTCTCGTACACGATATCTCTGGTTTTCAGACTGTGACAGATCGCATGCAGAAAAATTGTGTCTTGCCAAAGACCTCGTCTCCGAGGAGGAGATCCTTCGGAATCCTGAAGAGGACTTTACGCAATCTAGAAAACTTTGTTTTGTATTAACCGAGGAAAGTCATTTGGTGAAAGTAATTACGCAAAATCTATCTGAGATCATTGGTACGGCATTCCATCGGCCAGGTACTCGTCCGGCTGACTGGTTGACCTTTCGTCGAAGAATAGAGTCGCGATGGAACGTTACATGTTTTCGAAACGAGCGTCGATCGGTCGATGATGAAAATCATTTCTATCCTCGACGAGAATGAACCTGACATTGGCGACGAACGTGTCACGATTATTACAAGACGATCCGATCGGACGTTTCAAAGACATTTTTATCAATCATTTTACACACGATTCACGTTACGCACAAAGTACTTTGTTGTTTCATTCATCCGGCAACGATATTGGGAAAATATCCAGAAGGCACGTGGCGTTTCGTGCGTTAGTCAGCCACGGGAATTCGCGCCTTTCACTTTCGTTCTCTTTCGATTTTCCGTCCTGCTCCCGTGCACGAAATATCGGTGGCCAACGTTTATTAACGAAGATTTATTCGAGATAAAACCGTGGTTTAGAACCGCGGTCGATTACTATTGGCCGCGGCCCAGTGTCAATGTTTATCGCGGATAAACGGTCGGTTCTCACGGTGTCTACGTCCCATATTTTTTTCGAAAGGCCTCGCATGCATTTACGACACGTACGCGCGTAATTCTATTATTTTTCCGCCACTCAGCGATTTAATCTCGTTTCCCCTGGACTCAGACCCGTTCCAACTTCAACCATTCTCACAGAGGAAGGTCTCGATAGATTCTTACATTAGACATATTGTCCAAGTCGAACGAGTACCACGCGAATTGTCCTTGGGGAATGAATTTTCGTTTGACGAAGCACACGCGTCTGTCCATTGTCTCTCACGTCGTATGCATTGAAAGCTTCTCTCGATCGAGTCAGAAAATTGAATTTACTTCGAGTCGTAATTCTCATCGATTGGAAGGAAGAATTATTCTCGAACGTTTCGAAGCTCTCGTGGACGGTCGTACAATTCTGGGAGTGTTAAAACTGAAGCAGGAAGCGGGTCGTAAAGGTGAAAATTGAAATGCTCTCCCATGCAAGTGCAGAGAGGCACCTTTGTTGCGTATAACTTTTCTCACGTGTCATTCATTTATCGCCGGTTGTGAAAGCCGAAAAGGAAAAAATTCTCGAGTGTTACACATATTTCTTGCGACTATTACATATCTACTTCTCCAACTCCCCCGGCTTTCCTCTCTCATGACGAGTAAAGAGAAAATTCGCGCAAGAAAATACTTAACGGACAGTTATACTAATTTCTGTGGAGATGAACTAGAGTCGATATCGGACAGAGGTCTGTGTCACGCCCAAAGAAAAGTCCTCGTTTTGCCATGACTCTGTTTGCGAGATGGAGCGGGTTAACAGTACTTGGACGGTTGGTTTCGCATACTGTTCCAGCTTGTAACGCGAACCGTTACAAGAATATGGAAAGTCCGATCGCGAGCGTCCGTTTACCGTAGGTTCGGTTAGAAAAGATCCGTAAAATTTGCTGAAAACCTTTAATTAATCATGTCCTTTCCCTTTTTTTTTCCCGTGGCCTGGATAAGAGCGAGCGTGTCGCGAGCGAAGTGTCGCAATTATCGAATCGGTTTCGTAATGCGGTAATTACGTCCCGTGTGGAGAAAAGGTAAAAAAAAAGACACGTTTCTTCGGATGCACCGGCGAGGCAGGATATTACCGGTAACGCAACCATTCTTGTCACTGGTATCCCATTGGTTCCGCTTGTCTCCGGACGGCAATCGCTCATTCAAGAAATCAAACGCGTTAAGTTTCTCAACGAGCGCGAACGGCGTAACGTAATATCGAAAGCGGTTCCGATGTTACTCTCGAACGAAGATACCGCGATGGATGGGACAGTTAATAGAGACTCGACGAAATTACTTTCATCGCTTTCTTTGTATCCGAGACTAGCTCGATGACTTCCACTGGATTTTCGTTATAAAGAATTATACCGAGGCGAAGGCCTGTCAGTTTTGCGTCGTGAGAACGCGTAGAACGTGTAGAGCTATATGATAGAATGGATGACCAAACGCGCAAAGCGGAAATAACTGATTCTGAGGAGGGACAATAACTAGGAAATGTAGAATCGTCGTTCTAATTACCGAGGGATTCAATGAACTGTCGTAATCGGCTTAGCCAGCGGTGGAATCGCTTCTGTAACTGTGATTCTTCTCGGCCAAGACGCTCGTTTCTAATTACGTTTCTGTTCCCGCGTTTCTCCACCGTTGAGTGGTATTCCACGCGTTACATAAACGCGCTCGCGATGGACGTTAACAACGATTAAACTATTACGGCTGTGTTGCGTGTCGCGTTTAACTTTAAGGTAGAAGTTGTATTGGCGATGAGAATTGATTAACGTCGATCGATCTTGATTTTTGTTCTGTATCGTAGGCAATCTCGAGTGGTCAATCGGTGAATTTGTATCGTTCGATCGATCAACGAAGACCAAATGCGCCCGCAATTACGTCGCCAGTCCCAGGACGGAAGTTAAGAAGCGGTTCCGGAAATGAGAGCTGCGACGTTCGCGCTAAACTCAGTTTCCCTCGACCTTTCTGGGATGTGGGTTAGCATGCGCATAACGACTTTTAGTCGGACTCGTTACAAACGTTTGCTGAAACGAAAAAAATTCCCCGATCCCTGACCGGCAGTTTCTAAAATTGTTTCCTCGATCCCCATCGAAACCATTCCACGGTTTATTCACCCGTTTCAGGGTTTGGTTCGCGGCGTAAAAGAGAAATCCCTCGTTTATTAACATTCACTTCTGCGGTTTATTTTCCCAAGTATGCGAAAAACTCGACCACGAAACGATCCCGCGCGCACCGGTGTACCGCGTACACCTTTCTCTGTGTTGAAATCTGTTCGGCGCGGCGCGATTCCAGGCCTAAGTATCCGCCGATGGAATCGTGTTCGAAACGGGTCTGGAATCTCCGCGTGCTCCACGCCCGCTGCTCGCGTTTCCTTCCGAACTTGCGGACGAGTGAAAGACGCGGGATAAACGAAGCAAATTACGCTCGAAACCGCAAACGAAACTTGATCTCTTTCAGCGGATTGAACCGTGACTTTTTTTCAATACCGTCCCGCGACAGTTTCAATTGTCTTGTCTCAATGTCAATATCGCTAGAAATCATTTTTGCCCTTTTTATCAAATTCTCTTAGACTCTTTCGACTCGGTTACATGATCGCTGGAGATTTCAATGCGTCTGTACTGCGTTGCCTGGAGCTCGTTAATTAATATCGAACTGCAAAGGCACGGAACAAGTAATAGAATAAAAAGGAATCGAGGCACGAGAACACTATGGTCGGATGGTCATGGCGAGCAGGCAACTGGGCAAGCGAGCCAGCTATCGCCACGGTTGTTGGACTTTGCACAAGGAAATTGTAGAAATTTCTTGGTAATAGTCGCTGGAATTAGTCTCTGATTTTTGCACCGTTTAAGCTAATCCGCAACAGAACTGAACGTTTCTTTTTTAACGGCATTCTTGACTATCGTACCATTTCGTGTGCGCAAAATTCGCTTGGTTTCGCGGCGCGAACCCTCTAATGGGTCGAGTCCGTCTCTTACATACCAGCGTACGTCCGTGTACACTCGTAGGCTTAAGTATGTTGGTTCCTTGTAGTATGTACATGGTTCAAGGTCGGCCAGTGCACGCCGAAGACGCGATACGATATACCCATGCCGTGTGTGCGTAGGTGCATTCACCCTTTGGAACTCGCTGCTATTATACGATGCGGCGATACCTGTCCGAGGGATAAGAACGAGCCAAGAGCGGTCTACCGTTTCAGTAATTCACGGTGCTGACTTTTCTTTTCACGTCCGAACGGTTAAATCTAAACCGCGATCACGCGATCGAAGATGCAGTGTTCATCGTTTTAATGGAACGGAGTCAGAGCGACGATGTTCGTTCCAGTGACGTAGCCACGGTCGTAGGATTTTTCAAAAGAATGAATGGATGAAAAATAAGAAAACCACTTACACATATTTGTCAGCATTGGTTCACAGCCAATTCCGGCCCATGACGCGTTCGGGCCAGCCTGAGATCTGTTTCCGACACAGTTTCGATCACCTTAATAAAAAGCCCCGATGAGAAACGAGAAGCAGAGTCGAGTTCGTAACGCGCCGCGTGGAATCCGCCCGGGCCACCTGTTGTCAACTTCCTCTCGAGACCGAGGCAGCGTTTTGAATTAACCCGATTATCGAACTGTTTCCACGGAACCGGTACGCGCGTAGATCACGCGAACGAATCTTCTGAGTCCTTCGGGACCGATGAGAAATACGCGCGTGAACCACGAAGACACGTTTAGTACTGGAGAACCGTTAAGTTCGTCTCGGTGGCATCGGCATCACGGTCTTCGACTAGACTGCAAGAATTCGCCGCTGTTCGACCCCCTCTAGTACCTGTCCCTCTTTCTCTCTCTCTCTCTCTCTCTTTCTCTCTCTCTCTGTCCCTCGTAAGCGGCGCGGACCAAGTCCAGAGGTAGGGTAGGATAAACCCACCGGCGACTTTGGAACACGAGCCTTCCATCCTCGTTTCTTCTTTCGACCGTGAACTACCGAACCACTGTCCCGATTCTCGCTCCGCTTCCTCGACTAATCGCGTAACGCGTTATCAGAGAAATCGCGACGAAACTGAGCAAAAATTCATTTGTATTTCTTGATCGATTATCATTTTTCACATGGCAAATATTTTACTTGTTCAGGGTCAGTCCAGGCTTCCCGGATTCCGTGCGGACGTGCATACTTCATCAGAAGCTTCAAATGATGAATTGTTGCATCGAGAAGAAGAAGGCGCGGGAAGAATTAGCGCACAAATCTCAAAGCTTGGACACAGACGATTTCGAGACAGGTAGAAATCGTATTTTCATCGTTTCACGCGGAAGATTGTACCTATATTTTGCGTGTTGACTTTCCCTCGATTTTAGCAGAATCGGAAGAAGACGAGTTTTTCGAGTGCACCAGCGAGGAACTTACTAACGAGGACGTGTCGACGGCAAGGACACAGCTGAAAGCGAAACATCTATTGTGGAACAAGCCTGCAGGAAGATTAGCCAAACATCCTTCGCTGAAGTAAAATCTACAGAACCATTTTTCCCATTACGACCCGTCCGCCGCATTCTTATTAGTTAATCCGACTGGTTCAGGTTGATCCAAACTGGAGATCCTCTCTATTTACCCGTGACGCAAGACCCTGTACCGAAGACGGAGGATCAACTCGAGGAAGACGCTCAGGTGATGATGCAGCTCGGAACCGACAAACAGGCTTCGGAAATGCGAGCCAGATTGATGAGCGCCTCGCTATTGTCCGATATGGAGTCTTTTAAGGTATATACGGGATATAATACATTCACGTTCGACTGTCTTTACTAAAGAATCTGTGGGTATTTGTTAGGCGGCAAACCCTGGAGCAGTTTTGGAAGATTTTATTCGCTGGTACTCTCCGAGAGATTGGATCGAGGATGACGGAACAGACGAGTGGGGCCAGTCTACAGGTTTTCTATTAACATTATTCGTTCGTCGTTTAAACCGACATTATAAATGATATCGTTGACGCAGGGCATCTATCCGCGAGAATGTTGATTCCCAATAATCCGTGGTCCTCGACCTGGAGCTCCGCTCAACCCGTGCCCGCGCATCGGCAGAAACGTTTGTTCGATGATACGAGGGAAGCCGAAAAGGCTCTGCACTTCTTGAGCTCAAAACGGATAGGGCAGATCGCTCAGCTCCTCTTGCCGGTGTTGACTCACGCGTCTCTTTACACTTTGAGCGAACAGAAGCAAGACGCTTTACCGAATATAAACGACGTTGCTCTCAGCATACTGAATAAACTGCAGTACGCTACCAAGCCTATTCACCAGAAATTGCATATCTACGAGGTAGTTTTAAATAGGAGGAAGATATCGTTCGTCTATACCGTATGCTACGAATGCGAATTCATTTTAGGAAATTATTCGAGACATAGAAGGTGTAGAGGCCCTCGTGGCGCAAGTGAATTCTTTACAACATAAACTGGGTAGAAACGTCGATTCGAAAGAATTCACATCGTTCCTCATCCAGTTGATGCGGGGCAAGGAAGTCGATGTGCCAGGCGGAGCCAGAGGAGACATCGGTTCTCGCATCACAACGATGTTCAGAGACGCGCAAATAGTAAGCAAGAATATTTCTATTCGAATGCATTCGTTTGCAGGAACGTTCCGTTAACGATTCGATCGCTCACAGGCTGCTCTCGCAATGACTTCCCTAAACAGTAACCCGGAAGCAGACAGCAATGGTGACAGTAAGGTGAAAACGTTTCCGGAAGCTTGTTGCAAAGAATTTATTTTACGTCTCGTAACGTCGAGGCCATCGCCAACATCCACTCCTACGCCGCAACGAATGTACGCGTGTCTAAAACGGGACGAGATTCGTCTCGCTGGGTTCTTCTCGGAAGATACAGTATTCCTGTAGTACACTTCGATGGCACCGCTTGGATTTATTAAATAGGTACGACAAATTATAATCATTCACAATTGGAAGGAACATTTTATTCGTCAATAAAAAGAATACATGTATCGTATAGAAAATTGTTGGGTAAATAATATTCTTAGTAAATCTATTTTAATAGAAATATCTTTTTTTCCAGCTTCGGAGGTGAAAAGAGAAAGTCACGCATCACGTAATCCAATTCCTCGAGCGCTAGTTGAGCATGCAGGCGTAGGACCGGATCTTCATCGTTGTCCCGCAAATGTTTCAGGCCGCGATACAGATCGACCAAGTCCTTGCCCAGACTCGTTAACGTGTCCTTCCCTAAGCCGCGAAGTAACAGAGTGCTCACCATCACCGCGGCTCGTCGACACTCGGGAGCCTTGTCCGTTTTCACGATGCAACCGATGCAGTAGATCACCTAAACATATTTTTAGGTATACAAATAATAATAAATGTATAATTTTTGTACATCCAAATATATGCACCTCAATGATCGCGTCTCCCAATCGAAAGCCTAGAACTTTGCACAGTTCGCCTAAACAGGAAAGGCTAGAAGCGCGTACCAACGGGTCTGGGTCCCGTGCAGCGCATAGGAATCCGTTTATCAGAATATTTTTATAAGCCGATGCCATTTCACCTGTCGGAGTAAGTGTACAAATTAAAATTGTTATGAAACGGGGTCTCGGAAGACATACCCAAAGATCTAGTCACTTTCACAAGTATCTCTCCTAATTTGATTCGAGTTTCCGTCGCTATTTCTCCGGCTGAAACGCGTTCCGATATATCAATATACTCGTGTACCAATAGTTCGATGATCATTTGTGGATATGAACTGGCCAAAGCGCATAATCCATTGATCGCTGCCAGATATATAAAAGAATCTTCGTGTTTCAAATTACTCTATAAAAGAGGCAACGTTGAAAATCCATGAATTAAACGAGAGTAGAGTTTTGAGTCCTGCTTTTTACCAACTTGGAATAATTGTAAGACGACCGCTTTTCTAGCAACGATACATGGATCCATGGTTTCGATCAGTTTGGTGAGAGTTATAAGCCCGTGCGCGCGTACAGGTAGCAACGGATCCGCGAGATCTCTCAGCGCTTCTTCGAACTTGTCCGACTCGCGTTTGCGGCTCACCGACAAATCCTGATAATTCCTCTGCTCCGATTTGCCATGGCTTTCAATCAGTTCTATGCATTCGCGAGTTAACGACGACAGATGCGAGGGAATGTCCGTAAGAGTACAGCATTCCTTCAAGAATTTGACGAAATCAGTGAACGCTGCCCATTCTAAGGGTTCCTTCCTCTCGCTTATAATCATTTTTACTAACATTAAACTGACGTAGAGAAGTTCACTATCGTCATCGGACGAGTTCTGTCCTTTACGTGTTTCAATGTACTGGGTAAACAATGTTCTTATAAACGAGCATATCGGTTGTGGATTCTTGATCTGCGCTTCTTGCACGCTAGATACGTTTGCCAGACTAGACAGTAGTTTCACGGCTGTCAATCGTTCCTCGATCTTTCCTATTTGATCCTCCGGAGTTTCTAGTAAAGTTCTAGACTCGTTTCTGCCATTCGTTGTTATGGCGAGGGACAAAAATGTTAACAAGTAGAAAAATAATCCGTTCGATAACGTATCAGACGTGGATGTTAGTTCGAACAAACTGTCCGCAAATTCATCGCGTTTTAAATTCGTATCTGTCCCTACGAGTTCGATTCTACCGGTTGGTCCCAGTCTCGTTTCCAAACGATTACCGAAGCTGTCGAAGGAATTATGTCCGAGATATGCAGCGTAAAGATCGTTCCTAAATGATTCTTCGTGTAAAAGTCGTAAGAGGAGTTGTTTGATTTTATGTTTTAACACGCAAACGCTAGTCCTGACACCGTTCCATAGGGAGAACAGAGGAAGAGACACGGACAATAAAAGTTTACAAGGCAACTGCTTGAATTTCGCCTCCACCGTTACGAAGCATTTCGTTAAATTCTCGATACATCTCTCTACTTCGTCCTCGGTTCCTGTCGAGGTGGCCAACAGCGGGTGGCAAATAACTTGCAAAACGTGTTTCTGAAAAACTTCGGGATTGTGTTCGTAAAGACTGGTGACGCAACAATTTGCTATCGTCGTAGAATGCTTGATCCGTGTTGATTCTAAAAGATTTAATAACTGAAAAAAATGTAATCCATGGGTTAAACAATTGTTACAATGCGTAAACGGTCAGTGTAATGAGATAAGTACTTGCGGGCATATAGATTTGTAATAATCTTCGGAATTATTTCCGTGCGAAGTAACAATTAATCGGCAAACAGTGTCCAACTTATTCCAGTGTTCTCCAAGATCCAAAAAATCGTCGCATACCGCAGTTACGATCGAAACAATTCCGTTCGGCTGTATAATCTGTTCCACCAGATATTTACGAGTTTCACGTTGAAGCCACTTCGGTGCTTCCTTGACACCGAGGATCACCATCAATTCTTTCATACTCGTCGACGTAGGGCAGTTGTCTAATAGTTCGCGAAGCAAACGCTTGAAGTGTTCCTGATCTCTTTTCAATTTTTCGTATAATTCCGTGGTCATCGTAAATGTTCCATCTTTGCTTATATCCGTTTGTCCAGCCGACGCACTCTTCGCAGATGGCTTCATCAATGGAGCATGACACAATTGTAACAACGCAGCGAACAATGAGCCTAACTGAGCGAGTATCGCAGGGCGTAACGTAAAATGAGTGTATAACTCCATAAGGGAATCGACGGTAAACCGTAGCCTCCTGTATTTCTAATGCGGATAGATCATATATTTTCGGTTTAATTCATATTTAAAAGATAATCGTATTAAATGTAATTCATACTTGTAAGTCGGTGAGTTTTTCCTCCTGTATCAGAATGGCTTTGGGGCACAGTTTAGCTATGTCTATCCCGACACCATGTAAAAGATTAGGTAATACTCCCATGGCTGTTATTAATTCTATACAGACTTTTAAACTATGAAATTCTTTAACGCTGATCAAGGATTCCTCGCCTGATGAATCGGGCATTTCTAGAGTTTGTAAAACACGTACAACCGTACGTATGTATCGGTATCTGTGAAGTTCAGTTAATATAACATTTTTATAAATCCTTGGATAATCTAAAGGAAACATTTCATCCATAAGATAATGTTACCTAGTATCGAGAGGCAGATCTCCGTCTTCGCTGTCATTTATTACGAACTGTTCATCAGTTTTCATCAACATAGGCAGTACTTTCTCTAAAATTTGTTGCAATCTGGCATTGAAATCTTTCATTTCTGGAACAATACGGTCATAAAAATTGCGTTCTATTTTTATTTCGTGTATGTTTAAATAGGTATATCGTACCACTGTCAGTTTTGTCAACCGTTGTCAAGTGAGTTAATATTTCATGATAATCCATAGCTTCTCGTCTTTAATCTCTGCATTCAAGACATGAATATTATTAAACCAATAAATTACGACAGCAGTGAGGTAACAATTACATACGATCAAATTTATAACAATTATATTTATTTAAAACTTGTATCTTGTGTATTTGACACTGTGTAATACAAACTAACTTTCAATACACCAGCATGTAGAAAGCAGGTTATAGCAATTTTACTTCGACAAGTTTCATTCCATACTTTGTACGACTTGATTTTAATTATATTAATCATACCCGTTAAGATATCTTTCTTTGAAATTTCAGAGACATTTGGATAAATCCTTTAGGAATAGTTTTGTCAAAATCGGTGTCTAGAAGCCGAGATATTTGCATTTTTTTTTAAATCGTCTTGCGATGGCATTTGAATATGGTACCATCTAGCGGAATAAACACATAAACTACGCGTTTTAAAGTTACAAAATAAAATCAGAAAAGGAAATTATGATAAAATTGCTATAACTTCGTTTCTACTGCCCGGAATTGAACGGCACTTTAGAAACATGTTCAGGAAGTATCTATTTAAGGGCCTCTTAAGTTTCATTAAGATATCTGTTCTACTTTCGTAGAAGTTCGATGAACGAGAAAACCGTAGTAGATAAACGCTATTTTTATTTCTATCGATGCGTTCAAACTTTCCCTTGCGCTGCTTCACGTTATATGTATAAATACCATGTATACATATATGTAATGTATATATAATAATTTATATTATATATAATTTATATTTTTATAGAATAATTTTACAATTACTCCCTCGTCTCTTCCGTCTCTCCCTGGTCTCACCTGTCCCTGGCCGGTCTCTCACTCTACATATTATTATCTTACATGATTTTTACGTTCTTTTTTGTTTGTTCCAGATATCGCTCAAGCAGAACTTCTAGAAATACTGAAGACAGCATTTGCAATTCCTAATGGTACCGGTATCACTGATGAAATTTATTATAAATAATTATTGTACTACTTAAACAATCTTCTTTGTAAATTATTGTATGTCTCTTAAAGTTTAATTAATAAAGAGTTAGTTTAAATGGAATTTAATCGTCTTGTTATTTACCTCTAACTCTCCATCCAATCCCTTCTCCATGTCATATGTCATCTTCACTTAGTGTCAGCATAAGTAGAAATAAAGTAGAAAAGAAATTCTCCACAGCAGAAATCCGTGCCACGTCCTATAACTTCATGTTCTCCTAATACAAAGTCTGATTTTCGAGAAAAATTTTTGTCTCCGAGAATTCTTGGAAATGACGTCATCAGCAAGAGTTAGTGCTACCTCCTACGATATCATATTCTCCTGATACAAAGTCAAAATTCGGGCAAAAATTTTGTCGAGAATTTCACTTTGTATTAGGAGAATATGAAGTGAAAGGAGGTAGCACTAACTAATTTAGTGCTACCTCCTATCATATCATATTCTCCTAATACAAAGTCCAAATTCGGGCAAAAATTTTGTCGAAAATTTCACTTTGTATTAGGATGGGAGGTACCAATAACTAATTTAGTGCTACCTCCTGTCGCTTTATATTCTCCTAATACAAAGTGAAATTTTCGACAAAATTTTTGCCCGAATTTGGACTTTGTATTAGGAGAATATAATATCGTAGGAGGTAGCACTAACTCCTGTCGATGACGTCATTTCCAAGAATTTAAATGACAACTAATTTAATAGTGATATGAGTTATTTTTTCGAGTTCCTCGTTTCGGAACTTTATATTTTACTATTTTCCTCCACGATAGTTCTCGTTAAGGAATGGGCTGTTAGTAATTGTGGGAGTACTGATCGGGTGATTAAATGAATAAACAGTGAAATATATTTTTAACAAGATATTTATTTCATTTGAAAATAAGTTACAGAATAAAAAAGATCTGGGGACGTGGACATTATGCACTCAGAATACAGAATCTAAATGAACGATTCCGCAGATGCTACAAGGCAGGAATGCTCTCGTGCAGTTTTAAAAAAGCAACTTAGCTTTTAGTGTGCCGATTTTGACGAGACTTTTGAAGGCATACTCAGGAAGGGTCTATTGAAGTGTAACTTCATTTCTACTGAACGGAATTGAATGTGCAGGCTTAGGAGTCTCTTACGTTTCACGTTACTGAAATCGTAGCGATTGAATGAAGGGGAAAATGGAACTTCTGATTTAAAACAATAATTTATTACGTAAATAACTATCTTATCGATTTAAGAACTTATAAGCCTAATGGACAAGTTATTGCATCTGTTTCGTTTAAATATACGATCAAAACTAATAAAACATTGCTATAATTGTACATTCTAATTATTATTTATTGTATTTACACTTAACACCTGCGAAAGGATGCTTGCCGAACCTTTCTCGCGAACGAGAAATGAAGTACGATGCTTTTATGTGAACGCCCACACACGTTGTAAATCGTAGAATACGTTTTAATATTATATAACATGTAATATTTTACACAACGTTCATGACGGATAGGAAGCAAAGGAATTTTTAACGAAACTTACTATTATAATCGAGTAAAACGACAAATCCTTGGGATCGTTAACAAGCAATAATAACGTATTAAGAAGGACAACACTTCTTAAGGAAGAGGAAAACTAGACTGTACAATATAAACAGTATTCTTATATCTTATAAAATAAATCAATATCTTTCTTGTTGTACAGAAGATAACTCTTAAATTAGAAGAAACTATACACGAAGATCAACAAATTTGATCGAAACCAACAGCAGTACCCTTTTCACTTACGTGAAACATTTACATTTCGGCGAAAGGAACATGATAGAAAATTATAAGTTTCACAGATTAATTACTATAAACGCATTCGGTTATCGGAATATAATCACGACTCTACTTTCTGGGGAACGGTTTCACCTTCAGTTTCTGTCTTCAAGTTATTCCCGATTTGTGTCCGTCCGTCCGACTCGTTACCCTGTTCCACTTGCTCGTCTACGTTGATCTCTTCCTCGTCTTCTTCCACGGTCTCTGGCATCACTTCCTCCTTCACCTTAACTTCGCTCTCACCGTTCCCCTCTTTCCTATCATTGGATTTCTGATCCATGCCATTTTCCGGAGTGGTACCAGGCGAAGATGGTCTATGGAACGTTAGCATATGGTGATCCAACTCGGCTCTGAAGAAGAACTTGAGAGTGCACTTGGAGCAGTCGTACGGACGAGCGCCTAAACCGTGTTCTTGAAGCATGTGATTCTAAACATTCAAAAAGGTGTACATCCTATTAGTTTGCTAGAGTAACGAGGGAAGCTTAAATATGCACGGAAGTGCGTACATACCTGAAGGCCGATAGGCGCGGTGAAGAGAGACTGGCAAATGTAACAACTGAGCGCGGCGCATCCAGCGAAAGTGTGTTCTATCAAATGACTCTGTAGCTGTAATGGACTGCTAGCCTCAAACAAGCACAGATGACATCGCAATGCCTCGATGACAGCGTTTCCCGAGCCCTCCAGGTGTTCTTTCCTCACGTGCTGCTGTATCTTTGCCTCCGTTGGGAACGATATCTAGACAAACGAATACGTTTGCAATTTAGATGAATAATAATAGACATCGGATCTTATGCGTTTATAGAAAAATCTTATCGGCAGAGAATATACGGAATGTTTTATTTTGCATGAAAATTTGCAGTCTAATAATAATAATGTTCACCTGACACTGTATGCACGTGTAAGTACGCGCGTTCGAAGGTACCGGCTTATCGTGTTCCAGCCTGTGCTTCTCCATCTCCTCGGGATCCTCGAACTTCAACCCGCAGTCGTGGCACCTCTTCCCATCCTCGCTCCTGCCTTCCTTGAATCTTCCTTCGGTCTCCCATCTATCCTTGGAACTGTCCCATTGTCCATCCTTCAACCAAGGACGCTCGCACTTCGATCTGACAGGCTCGTACGGTGAATTTAATATAGGTAAACCCTGAGAGTGGCGAATGTAACAGGGCTTGCACACCCTCAGAGTCTGACTTCCGCCGCTCACGTGACTCGGAGGAAGATTCACGAACTCGTCTGTCGAACAATCCCTCAAACAGAGACAACAACTCGGGCTCTGACTCTTCCGATTCGGGCTGGGACTCGGACTCGCACCAGACCCAGCGCTGTTCGACCCCGTAGAGACTCTCAGGTGGTGCCTGGCGTGAAGGCGACACTCCAGATCGCTGATCAACGTCTGCCGGCAAACGACGCACGCGGCGGGTAGATGCGCAGCGGGAAGTGATCCGTTGTCCAATCTCTGCTGAGGGTCCACGTTCTCCAAGCTGTGCCGTTGCACGTGTTCCAAGAACTGGGACTCCGTCGTCAGACTCCCCCGGCAAACGATGCAGGTATCGCTCAATTGGATCTTGCAATGTTTCTGTAATTTATGTTCAGCAAGGATTGCGCCAGAGGGGCAGACCTCGTCGCAGATGTTGCACTTGTGACGACCGCCGGGCTCGTTCGAGGCGTGTTGGATTCTCGTGTGCGACTCGAGCTCAGCCCTCGAGCGACAAGCTTCTCCACAGTAGGCGCAAGTCATGCTTAAATTCGCAACGGATTTGCTTTGTAGCTTGTTGGTAGCAGGATGGGCGACTTTCTTGTGCGCTTGGAGCTCCGCTTCGTTCGAAAATTCGCCTCTCTCGCAGAGATCGCATTGCTGCTGCTGCTGCTGAGGGGACGAGGACGGGTTCGCGTAGTTTGCGTAGCTCGTATAGTTCGCGTAATTCGCGTAATTCGCACGTTTGTTATTATTGTCCCGTTGATTCAACGAGTTGTTGTTACTGGAAGCTGGAGAACGTCCTCTCTTCTGCGATTTCGTCTGTCGAAAAAACGCGACGAAGCTGTTAAATCGCTAAACGATTCGTTGGATCACGATACAGAGTAACCGAGGGAATTCGATTATTAGATCGGGCTAATAGAAAATACAAACCTCGTCCTGCAACCTTGGTGGCCTGCCGATCCTCCCGTTTTCCCTGGAATTAGTTCTGGGCTGATCCTCGGTCTGATGATGCGCCTGGGCGATATGTCTGTCCAATAAAAATTCGACTGCGAATCCCTCTCTGCAAACCGGGCATCTGTACATGTTGGCCGAGTGGCTGGCCAAGTGAAGCTGCAACTCCAGCTCGGAATTGCAGCACACGCCGCAGAACACACATCTCGCGGAGGTCGCGTTCCCGGTGAGACCGGGAGTAGAAGCAGGACTCCTGGCCGCCGGACTGTTGACCGCCGTCGGCGGCGGCGCGTGAACGTTTCTCACGTGGTTCGCCATCTCCGACTCGCTCCTGAAGAAGCTTTTACCCTCCCCAGGCGCGTTCCCCGGCGAGTTCTCGTTGTTCGACGTCGTACACGCGTTGCAGCGATAGATCCTGCACTCCTGGCTGTGCTTCACCGCGAAATGAACTTGTATCGCGACCCTCGAGTCGAACGTGTCCCGGCACAACGCGCATCGATAGAGGTGGTGCGCGTGGCTGTCGAGCAGATGCCTCTGGAGAAGGTCCGGATGGGGGTACAGTTTCTTGCAAGCACCGCAACCGTATTCTTTGCTTATCTGGCTGAGATAATGTTTCGTCAGATGCGCCAGCATTCCCTCCCTCTCCTGAAAGCTAGCGTCGCATTTCGGACACGGATGTCTGACCACTTCACTTCGGTGATCGGCTTGAAGGTGCCGGGCCAGGTGTTCCCTGAACGATTCGAAGTCCTTCAGAGCCGCTCCGCACTGACCGCACAGCAACGTTCCAGCGGTGTAATTGTTATCAGAATTGTTGTCCAGAGAACGCTTGCTGGTCAAATCTGCCGGTTCGCAATTCGACTGCTCGCGGCTCTTCTGATTTCTCTTCGAGTCGTAAGTCCCGTTCGGTTTATAGGCAGCGTACTCGCGAGGTTCCAGCGGAGCCAGTCTTCGATTCTCGCAGTGCTGGAGAACGTAGTGCTCAGCGTAAGCCGCCGCCGAGGCGCAGGGAATGCCGCAGAGGGGACAGAGCATCAACCCCGCACCGAACCCGTCAGTTCTGTGAATGGACATCAGGTGGTCCCTCAACAAGTTCAACGAGGAGAACTTCATGGTGCATTGATTGCACGTGAACGCGTTCTCCGAGTCTTCTCGATGCTTCTTCTGGTAGTCGCTCGCCGCAGAAGATGCCTCGTCCATCCTCTTCTCTCGTTCCGCGTTCCCGTTCTGTGAGTCGGACATCGCGACCGCCTCCCCGCTCAATATAGCCTGATGCATCGTGTGCACGTGCATTTGCAATTGTTGCATGCAGCTGAACGAGTCCCTGGTGCAGTACATGCAGGCCAGCTTCAGCGGGGAAGTCAAGATCGGAGTGGTCGACGAGCTTCCCTGGGAGCTCTTCAACGTCTTTGAGTTCAGCGACGTCGTCAAGTTCAACGACGAGGGCGAGGGAGAGGTCGGTACCGGCGGCGAACTGGTACTGTGGGAGGACACGCTTCTTCTACCGTAATCGATGTCCTGCAGCTTCGCTCCTTGCGACTGGTGTTGCTTCTTGTGCGACTGCATGTGCGACGTCAGGGCAGCTGCCGTGTTGTAGCCTCTCGAGCACGCCGTGCACTGGTACGGCTTCTGCGTGTCATGCGTCTTCATGTGGATTTTCAGGTGATCGCTGAAACCGAATCGATCTTAAATCTCGCCACGCTCGTTGCATATTGCATAAACGAGCTCTCCCGTCTCTTCTGTCCATCCGAGAAGTCTTTACCTGACGATCGACCAGGCTACGAATATACGTACAGTGGGACTCGATCGATGGCGTGTCGCGAACATTCAAAATAACGTCAGATATTATCGTGACGTCGTTGATGAAAATAAAGTGACACGGGTCAACAATTTTCCACGTGGTGCACGGTGGGCGTCTGTACGCGGATGAATAATTCATTCTCGTCTGTCCGGTGGAAAACTAAATCCGTTATAAGGCGAGGTTACGCGTATCGGTTCGCCCGGTCAGTGTCTCGCGCTTCGGAAACGAAGACAGACGGCAAATTCGCTCTTGCACTTTACGTCTGAATAATTCATGCGACCGGATTATCGACTGGTTACGCTTTGACCGTACCTATTATCGCTTATATCGCGCGGCTATTCGACTGACCGAAAAAGAGCTACACGATATAAAGACAGCTACGTGTACATCGAGTCTTCCTCCGATATCGACGATATCGACGACTGTCTGTGCGCGTGTATCTGAACTAAAATCTGATTTCCACTTTCCGTTATACATTTTCTAAAACCATCGTCAAATTAGAAGAGAGTTCTTTCATGTTCCGTGGACAAATTGAGTTATGAATAACGCGCCGATCTCGATCGGTCGGATACTCGGATCCCCCGTGGCTGCGAGAACCGCAGGGGTTTTCACCCTTTTGTTGAGGGTCACCCAAGCCGACTGACAGCCTTCGAGAAACGAATAGAGACGTGGCGTAAAGATCCGGCAATGCGATTGTAATAATGGCTGACAGGCTAAGCCTCTGTCACGACCTCGAATGGGTTAAAACAGTTTATTGAAAATTCATTTCCGGAATGAAACTTGATCGAGCTTCCTCTTCTGATCGTTATAGTATGCCACGAAACGGAAAACGTATTCTCGTACATGGGAAGAATTGAAATGCAAATGAAATAAGAAATCGAGATCCGACGTTAAAGAGATCGAAGGAGTTCGATGCTCGTAGGTACCGAGAAGGTCGTAACCGCGACGTAAGGCTTGGGAGCGTCGGTGGAGGAGCAACGAGGCACTTGACTAATGTTCTACCTGTTGTCCCGTAACACCTATGCGCCTACCTGTCCACTCACCTGGACGACGCACGGAAAGAGAATCGGGGCCCCTTCTCCCATGCTCTCACGGAGAGACGCTCGAGCTATCTCTTTCCTTCGCGCGAGAGGTACTTAAACGACGCGAAAGGTGCGTGTGCCACCCTTGGGGCCCCGTGTGTCCCGTCCGTTTATACCAGCTTAGCATTTCAATAAACCGCGAGTGAAAAGGGAGAAGCGAAGATAGGAGAGGAGAGACGGCTGGGACAGAGGGTGAACGGAAAGAATCACGCAAGAGAGTAAGCTTGACTAATGCGAGTCGGGGCCGCAGTCGTACGATCATTATTCATTTGTCAAACGAGCCGATGGATCGGGCACCGGGAACTCCGGGACTCCGTTCACGCTTTCCCGTTTTCCATACACGGTATTTAGAAACGATTCTCATATCAGGTCTTTTCGTATCACAATTTTGTGTCACGATTACAAATATGGATTTTATATATAGAAAAATTGATGCGGAGAACGCTTTATCTCTTGAAATGTTATGAAATATTAAGAGACGATAATTCGATACGAGAAGTGTCTATTTTCTGAAATGCATTGATTTAACCGATGCGATAAATGTTTCATTTTGCATTCTACTTAAGAGGCTAGGTTTGTCATGTGACTCTTTTAATAGATGTCAGTAAAATTTTGACGCTTTTTGCTGTGTTTCATCGATAACCAGGCAAAAGTAGTGCAAAATATGGGTTTACAGAAATACATTTTCCGTCCTTATATGAGAATATTTTCCAATCGTCAGGTACCTTTCCAGAAAGAGGAAAATCAAATCTAGCACGGTCTGGTCATTATTTCAATTAAAAGAACCTATTTTTATATAAAATCGCTTATAAACAGAAACACTGTAACTACGATTTTGCATCCGATATTCTTACGCTAATAATATACTATTAAATATCAGCATATTCTGATTAAATAATGACCAGACCGTGCCAGATTTGACTTTCTTCTTTCCGAAGAGGTACCTGACGACCGGAAAATATTCTAAAATAAGAACGAAAAGTAAACGCAAATTTCGTAAACCCATATTTTTAGCTAATTTTGTAGCTAAATTTTATCGCGGTACCCTCTTAATAATCTCGTCGCGTGTCAAAGGCGGCGAAACGCGGAAAGGAGGTTCACTGTTTTGACTTTTGAGAAACAACTAGTACGCGATGAGTCTTCAATAGGACTTACCTCCTGGAGAAAGCAGCCTCGCAGTGCGTGCATCGATATCTTCGGTCTCCCGTGTGCAATTTCACGTGGCGATCTCTGCTACGCTTATGTTTAAACAATCTAGCACACCAGCTGCACCTGTACGGCATTTGGTCACCGTGACTCTGTAACACGCGCATCGAATTCGTCTAATTAAACGCGACACATAATGACGGTGTCTCTCGATTAAAAATAAAATTCGAATCCCTGAATTTGGAATTCCTATACGACGACCTGAATCTACTTTTGAATCTCGCCAGATTTCTATATTTCTCTGTTGCGTATCCGTGAACGTCGGGAGTTCGTTTCGTCGGAGAGGAGGAGGCGATCGCTTCGCCCTTCCGTCCGGATTGTCTCTTCAAAGGAGCCGACAGCTCGAAAGTCGTGTACGTGCCGAGGTTACTCGGTTGAAAAAATAAAAGGAGACGTTGGACAAAGAGAATGACCCGGGCCCGTTGGCGATCATATCGGTCACACTGATCTACCTGGGTGACAACCACCGGGAATTCCTCGACCAACAGGAACTCCTACCCGTACCGTGGTCGATCCTCCCGGCCGAGATCGTCGTTTATTTTTTCATTTTCCTCCTGTTCGACTTGCAACATCATCGCATCCGGTCGATTTATTACTTTCGTCGGCAATTACTTCTGTTGCAGAAACGAGGGCTTGAGACTCGAACGAGCGAGAGGAGAGGCACGAGAGGAAAGACTTCATAGGTCAGAACCTCTGGACGAAATTTATCTCCGTTTATCGCGAGTCGTATCTATGACTGGAACCGCGGATTCAGCTCGCGTATGTGGAAGCGGGTTTTATCGAGGCTCGAAAACCGACGAGAGGAGAAGCCGAAGAAGGACGAACCAGCTGGGACGACGGAACGAGTTGACCGGTACAACCTGTTATGGACCGCGAAACAGATTTCGACCCGAAGATGACCCGCGGACGCGGAAGGAGTCGAACAACCCTCTAAACTCTGACGCGAAACCGGAAAACGGCTGGCATTCTCCTTCATCGATGCAGTATGATATTTAACAAACGAAACAACAGAAGAACAATTTATTTCTTACGTTCTACTTGTCGAAAAATTCTCGGCACAGATCGACGATTTATTTAAGAAATTAAAATACCTGTTCGTGCTTCTTGAGGTAGCTGAGCCTCGGGAAGGTGCGATCGCAGAATTGGCATGGATAGGGAGCGATCGCGTTGTTCCCGGTGTCGGGGTCGACCTCGGGCTCCGACGGGAAGCTGGCCGACGTCGGCGTCGCGCAAGACGACGGGGTCTCCCCCCCGCGACGCGAGACACCGCCACCATCCTCGCTCTGCCACGACGAACTTCCGGTACCCAACGCCTCTGCAATCAAAAGAAAACTCGAACGCGTTACGACAATATATAAGACCACGGTTCTTCTTTATCCGTTCCAAGAGAGTGCCGGAACGAATATAGATGCTCTGTTCTACGGCAAATTGGACCAGTCGTTTGTATCAATGTGAGAGGAGCGTCGAGAAGGGACGCGGCACGGTTCGTCTATTTTTCAAAATTACATCGCTCCTTCATAGTTTATATTCTATAAAGGAGAGATCGCGGTAGTTCTGGCGAGACGAATGTTGCTCGAATATCAAAGACGATCGGGTGACGATGTTCGTACGCGGAACAACCGGTGGCGACATTTCGTGAGCGATATCTTTCCGGGGAACAGGTTTCACGGTTACAAATGTCGTAAGATCGTCGGACCAGTTCCATAAATGACCTTACGAACCTCGAATTCAACGCGTAGAAATATTACGAGAGGATCTTGCTGACCTCACCTCGCCCGTTACACGTCCCTTTACATCGTTTTCGTAACCTAACGAGTATATCGTGGAACTGGTACCATTAACCCGGGCGTCCAGCGAACGAGGAGGACTGGTCTCCGTGGACAGAAGAAAAGCAAGACTCGCGGGCAACTCCGCCGCGGTTTTATATCTCTCGTATCGAACGGATAGAGAACGATCTTTCGGCAGGCTTCGAGTAGCGTCGAAACCGGTATAAGTAGTTCGGTATCGACGGTAGGTGTGGAAAGAAGGAATCTAACTGAGGGAAAGAGTTTCGGATGAAAACCGGTGACGAAGAGGAGACGTCCGGAGTCGAATAATTAATAATTGGCAAGAATGAGGACTCCCACCGTGGATAGAGCAAAGTGGCCCTGGTAAACGGTGGAAATGACTCGGCTAGTTGGCCGTTTCCTCATTTGCTCGCTGGATCCGACACCCACCACTCGATTTAAGAGATTTTACGGAATCCCGCCGTTCCCTCTTCGGCGTAACGCGAACACCCAACGAGATCGGATCACGCGGATCCGCGTTGATGGCTAACATCCTCCACCCACGCGGCTCAAACTCGCGTGGAAACTGCGTCAACGGTAAAACCAGGATATGCAAACAGGAAAGTGCTTCGATCGATAAACGATTTTTATCACGATTCTCGACGGTCTATTCGCGTCCGATAAGAAATATGAGAATTGTGCAACGCGTAGACAACGGGACGGTGCAGATAGCGCGAGGCACTTGCCCAATTGGCATCCCGCGTGACTCACGCGCGTAGAAAGAACCGACAGGGGTAGATCGGGTGAGCCGTGCAATAAATATAAACCGAGCTGCCGATCAGGTGTACCGAAGCACCCAGATGATCCCGCCCCGTCGTCAACTATTCGGTAGCCACTGCCAAGAAATCAGGATCAAACCTTTCGTCGCTCCATTCATGGAAACCTCGGAAAACCATCTCGTTGCATCAAATCTCTCCGAGACCCTCGATAACGCCCTTCCGTCGATTCCCTAAGTACTTCGCGTTTTGTACGATTGAAGCATCGAACATTATTTTACTCGTCAATTAATTTGAATGAAAGTTCGTGCAACTCGAATGGATGATCTACGGTGGAAACGTAAGATACCGAGAAAAGGAGAAGAGGCAAGGCCGCGAAATCTTGTTGGGTGATTCGAAAGGGGGTTTTATTTAGAGTTTCGAGTCTCGATTCGGCCCAATCAACGGCGATGTGTCACCGACGCGAAAATAGTCGCACTTAACACTGGCAGCTCTTTTCTGCGACCTGCCGATGATGCCAGCCGTATTGCATTCGCGTTTTATCATTCGATGGTGTGCGTGCGCGTATAATGTTGTCACCTCGTGCCCCGTTGCTATTTATAGGACGGTTCGAACGACGCTTATTAATAGGGGGCCGACTTAACGGCTTCGTTAATTGTGACTTATGTTAGCGCGCGAACTCCGACGACAGATCCTACTCTATCCCATTACGCTCGTTTGCGCGGATTTTTCATCGACGTCGGCGCCGCGTGCCTCGCGCGTCGCCAACGCGGAAATCCAAACCAGTTCGATCGATCATCGATCATCGACAACTGAACCGTGACCCGATCGGAGGTGATTAAAAATCTCAGGGGCACCTACCCTCGAATAATTCGTCGATGACGACCGTTAATAAATTTCTGAAATCGTTTGAAAGAGAATACCTTTGGATTTTTGTGGTTCCTCCTGCGAAGGCTCTTTGTGAGCCTGAATCTTGCCAATCAGTAGCTCCAACCTCGAACTGTTTCCCTTGAACAACATGTCTCTTCGATGCTTTCAACTTTTGTCCTTAAATTCACCCCTGTTCACCATCACCTCGATTACGAGTTCCACTCGACCTCCCCAATTTTATCGATTCAATCGCGAGCTCGTCGCACTGTCCGAAATTCGTAGACGACCAGACGATCAGATCGTGAGTTTACTCGAAATCGTTGAAGCGGCGAGATTGCGAGCGCGAACCGTCGTAGAATCCTGGCTGCTCCAGAGCGGAGTATATCGGTATCAGGATCGATCCGAGCTGGATCGTTCAATCGCGAGGACTGGCGTCGGACCCGCTCGGCTCGGCTCGGCTCGGTAGCGTAAACACGCACTAAACGAGTAAACCCGGGTACCAGCGGTGGTGACTATTATCGCGCGCACGATGCAAAAGCGACGACGTACACCAACGGTGGAGCAGTCCTCTCCTCCTGCGAGGCGAAAAGAGTGCCAGGAAGGAGAAGGGACCACAAAAGCCGGCCGTGAGAGGCCAGGGAGTCCCTTGGGAAACCGACGTCCGCATTGGACGGTAGGCGGGATCACACACTAACGAGTACACCCACCATTCTGGCTACCTCTCGCACCTATTTAACCTTTAGTCCACCTTATATCGTACAGACGTATCCGACGACACACCTGATACACCCACGCTCCGAGAATTCGATCACCCCGGCCGCTGCCAGTCGAGTGACCGTCAGCCCGTGTGACCAATTCCAAATGTTTATCTTAAAATTAATTAAAAACGAGAGACGCGAAATTTAACGAAGAAAAAATTCTGATACAAACGACGAGGCTCGAATTCTTACAATTAGACGGCGACCCGAGCAGTAGAGATTCTGTGAAACCTATTTCGAAGGTTCGTCAGCAGGGTTCCTAGAGGTTCCTATCGGGGCTCGCGATCGGGAGAGTTCGCGTACACGCGGTACACTTTCGAAAATTCAAAGAAAAAGGTAGTAGAGAAAAAACGGAGACCCCCTGCGACCCCTGTGAAATCGACTGGAATGGATTCTCACACACGGCTGGAGTTCTGTACCACCTTATGGGGACCGACGGAGGACTCCCTATGGGCCCATGAGGCGTGCGCGCCCTTATGACCCGCGAGGCGCCCACCCATCGGGATTATTTATTTCGTAGAGATCGAGTGTTAGGACGTTAGGTGGTCCTCCGACCACCCCGAGAAGCCTCTCGCACATACACACATTACAATTAGACTAAATGAATCATGCCTGGTATCGATTTGATGCATTCAGTCTCTACATTTTCTGCACGTTCGATCTGTCCATAGAATTTGTAGTTGTATCCGTGCCTAATTTAGATTAAAGTCAGAGATTTAATGGACTACTTTAATCATTTGAACGTACCGCGAGGCGAAAGCGAGGTTTTTCGCGGTGGAGACTCTGGAAAGGGTCCGAGAATCGGCGGACGTGCGTGCCATAGGCTAAGGCTCTAACGTTCTAATGGCAGAACATCTTTTTGCCCTGTCAGGCTGTTTCGCATCGCTGCCAGTCGCACAGTTTCCGTTTCGTACTCGAATAGAGTGCGATCCGGTCCAGTTCTCCGATCGATAAAACTCTCGGACAAAGACGTGACTCCGATGAAGACTAAATAGCAGGAAGACGTCCGATGCTAATTATGACTCGTCGTACTCTTCCCCAAATTTTGTACATTTAGATTTCCGGAACGGAGAGAAAGAAGAGACTCGGGGACGATCGGGACAGGTGACTAAATATGTAGGTGACACGAGCGTCGCGACGCACGTTGTGGGAGGCTCCTTGAAAACGGCGCATGTGCGACTATCACGGTTTTCTCCGCCTACGCCGTGCACGCGTTTTCCCTTCTGCAACGCGCGCGCGATCGCTTATTCCCAAATCCGCCCCGCGTGATCGAATCCACCCACGCTTTAAGCATCGTCCACACGCACGTGCCCCCACCAACGGGCGAAGACACGCGCGATTTCATTCATACTCTCTGCCTTCCCGCGCCGTTGATCTTACCGATGCACGACCGATGACTACGCTCGACGATCGCGTTCGATCTTTTTACCTTTTATCCAATCTCGCTGCGAATGTAACGAGGCCAGTGATCAGGCGAATTTCGCGGTATGACAGAATCGTGAAAGCGTCTCGGATATCGCGGGTTCCGCGGGCTCTTACAGAGACGAGATACTTTGCGTGAGAGCGTCTCAATCTAATAAATTCGCGAGGGAACGTCGTCGCTGTTCGCGTTCTCACAAGTCCCGTGGAATATCGAGCTTCCGCGTGATCCCTCGACCGCAAATCGCTCCCAACGAACGGACGGACTGCCCCTCGATCTTTCTTCTACCAATTTTCATTTTTCCAAGTACCGATAACTCGTTTGTATGATTGTTTGAACTCGTCCTCTCGAATCTCTATCAAAAACAATTATTGAGTCGACGACTGACTACTGATTCAACTCGGCTAGCTTTGTCCTACCGATGATTGACCGAGGGTTTTTCCCGGGAAGTCGACACGCAGTCTGGAAATTCCTTTGAACTTTGATGACGCGCAAAGTTCAACTAGTTGTAAATCACGTCGGTCATTCGCTAGAACCAAGCTTCTGTTTACTTTCCAAGATACGATTACCAGTACGAGTAAACGAAAATCAGTGAGTAATTTAGAAAGTAGTGTACAACAGAATGTTTGCAGTTAGCCTTTCGAACAGATTACGTTCTTATCTCGCGACTCTCGGGGCAAGTTATCTGACTGCGAGAATTTAGATTTCGGACAATACGTTGGGAT